ATTTCTAGGTGAAATCAGTAACATTTCCCTGATGATGCATTATCTCATATTTTATAAATATCAACATGCAGTACAAGAAACTGTTAATGGAATTTTAAAATTTCTTGCCAGAAACTGAATTCAAAGCCCGCTGATGTTATTGAATCTCTGGTGCTGTTTTGTTGAATCACCCCTCACGTGTTAGAGCAGAGCATCAGCATGTCATACAATTCTGCCATGTCCTGTAGTCATGCAGAAATAGCAGCAAAACACAGAGACAACCAAATTAAATAGGCTGATCCTAACATATCGCTGCATTCCATCTGGACATCTAATTTATTTTAGACTTTAGTGTTACTTGGTCAGTAACATGCTTGTAAAGATGTTCAAGTGTGTTTTTCGTCTGCCTCCTTAAGGAAATGAGGCTAATGTGATACTTTTACCAGGATGCCCAGAGACTCCCTTTACCAAAGTTTTAACTCACTGATCAATTTGAAATGGATGTAACAATGAAAGGTGGCTCAATTATATGAATTTCCAGTGAAATTCATGAAAATAGGTGTTTGTGTAGTGGGAAAAAAGATACGTATTAGAATCCCCACAGAGAAAATGACTGTAGTATAAATTCTATTATTAAACAACAGAGAATCTGTGTGGGGTACAGCCTATGACTCATTACAGAGCTAACGTTTCTTATGCAGTAGGGATGCACACAAGGGTTTTGGTCAACCTTTTGCAAGTGTCTGATTCCAAAGAGATGACTCCTTTTCTTCTCTTTTGTGCTTAAACACTGGTGAGAATTTTCAACATGTAACTGTGTAATGTCTAAGCCAAAGCGTGACCAAGGTACACATTCTGCCCTTTCCACTGCAGTACTTCCAATTCACATGCAGCTTGAACACTGCTTTTCCTCTGTCTCTGGAGCTACATATCCACCTTTTTCCCCCATCAAAATATTTAAGTAACTGAACAGTTTATAAAATTGTGAGTATGATCCAGTTCTCAAGAGCTTGTGTGCTGCTCTGTTCCTACACATTATATAGCCAGAATTAACTCCGCATTCTAACACTAGTAATTCAGATATCTTGCTTATTATTGCTACAATTATTATTCTGACAGAACAGATAACATCCTCCTCCAAGGAACTCTGTGTTTTGTATCTTCAAATTACTTTTCAGGCACTACTTCTGACTATAAGCAAGGATTTCAACAGGTGATAGCAGGTCAGGGGTGAGAAGTAATATATTCAATACTTCAGACTGACTCAGGGAATATCAGTTATTAGTTGCTGCTGAATGTAACTGCACAAGCCATGCATTATCCAGGGCATGGATACTAGAAATAATGTATCACCTAGCTATGTTCTGACTAGGTCATTACAAATATCTATTACTAGTTGGTTTTTATTAAATTACTTCATAACCAAAATCACAGCTTATCATTTGGTTTTCCCATCTTGAGACATATATGTAAGAACCCACATCACATAAAATCTCTGGTCCATGTTACCACTGTGATTTTTTATTTAATTTTATAAGTACCTTCCAATTCTTGGAAAAAGCTCTAGCATATAAACCTATATGCATGGAAATATGAACAATAACAAGAAGTTTTCAGCAAAAATTATAGTGGCATTATAGTAGCATTATAAGTGAACAGTGCATTAATTAGGAAGGCCTGAAAATGGGCTATATTCTTACATCATCTCAGAAGAAATCTGTTAAAGTTCTTGTTAACAGAAGCCTTACATGAAAAATATGCTGCATAAGATAGAAATGCTGGTAAGTGATCAAAACACAAAACACCCTTCATGTCTCCCCAATGAGAGCTAAATATCTATGTCTGTATACAGATTCATAGATTTTGTCATAGTAAGCTATAAGAATGTAACAGAAATAATTATATTCTAAGTCCTTTTTTATCTTGGTGCTGGTTTTAAACTCACTTAAAACAATTTGAGTTTGTTTTTGTGCACCTTGTAGGGGAGGTATAATCAGTCTGTTACAAATTTACTTTTAATAGGCAAGGTAAAAGATGGGTTAGTGTTGGAATCTAATTATCAGTGTTGAAATGGATCTTGTATAGAGAGGCAATAGAACAGTGTGGTTTTGAGAATATCTTAGAGCTGTGCTTCAAAGTTGAGAGAAAGCTATTGCATTTTAAATAGTTGATACTTTTTAAAATGGAGAAACTGAAACTGTGAGGAAATAATAGAAGATGAAAACTATAATATGAAAATATGCATATGTAAGCATCTGAAAGTGCAAGAAGAGTTTAGGGGTAAACTGTAAAACACAGGTTTATCAGAGAACTTGTCTCTATCTATATTTTATTTTTTCAGTTATAATTTAGAGAAAGGAGTTTTAAGAAGGTTTTCCAAAATAATCAGGCAAGCTTGTATTTAAAATACATGTCAGAACTTTTTGAAAGTACCGTGTCATCATTAGTCTAATTCTAAGAAAAAGCACCCTATATACTCCCAGATTCAAGGGAATTTAAGGAATCTGAGGAGATGAATTTCATCTCTATTTCCCTAACTGGCAGGGGGGCCAGGGTGTGCATCTTTTCCATGCCCAGGACACACAGCTGCAGCTGGAGAACAGGAGCTCAGCCTTCCAGGGTCTGCCTTGTGTTGCCACAGCTTGCTCCAAGCCTGACTAGAGCTGCATATACCATGCTCACCTCCTTTCTAAGGCTCATGAGGAAGAAATCTGTATGGACAGATTTTTATATTAGCTGTGGGTGGGTCCCACAAATACTGAAATTTAGTGGGAAGATAGAATATTTGGTGTGAAAACTGTGTAAAAATTTTTAACCATCCAGTCAATGTATTTTATCTAGAGCACAAGGTATTGATTTTGTTTCCAACATCTGGAAATAAATAACAAGGCTTTGCCCAGCCCAGGTGTTTTATAGTTTAAAATCCAGGTTCACCAAGGTTCAAACTTCTGTGTGTCCACAGGTAGGTTCAACAATGTAATTTGGACTGTGATCAAAGCTGCTCTGGCAGCCAGCAAACCTGAAATCAGACAGTCTGGCCATGTTTTTCCTAGGAGCAATCCAACAGATTGGATATACCAAAGACAATATTTAGGCTTAGAGACTGCAAGGGACTAAATTCACTGGTAGCTGTTGTGTGTTTGCCAGCTCAATTGGAATATCAGGCTCAGAGACTTTATTGGGTTCTTCCCATAACTGAAAGATCAAGTTCAGAGGTTTTCAACTTAATGAGAATTTTCCTAGGTCAGAAACTTATCTGCTTATACCATCTAAAAATCCTGTATGTATTTCTCACTGATCATAACGTGCTTCACTGCATTGTCTTTGATAAACGACTGATTTTTGGGAACTTTTATGATTTCTCATCCTCTCATCTAGTTGCCTCACTGCACTAAAAGACTTTAAAAAAAAAGTCAGAGTTTTGTCACAATGATGCACAGAAGAACAAAAATCTGTTGTTGAAAGGGGATGGGAACCTTGCTGCATTTATTGCCATTGAAAAGGATGTTCACCATTCTCATCTTTTCTTCTTCCCATCTTCCCTTCTTTGGGGTAAGTTCAACTTATAAAATAAAAATCACATCCCCTCAAGTACCAGTCTTAGTACTCAAGACTCACTGACTCCAGTATCTGATAGACTGATAACTTTTTGTCAGCAATTTGCACTTCCTACAGCCATGGAGTTTTCTGTTGAAATACACCACGTCTGATACACAGGAAATGAAATATATTTTGTGGAGAGTTTTTCAGTACGATAAAACCTATGATGAAGGAGCTATCAGACTTTTTTTATGCTGATGCCAATTGGAATTTGTATTCTTTGTAGATTTTATGAAGAATCACCTACTGCTGTATTCCAAGCTGCCACAACTGTACCTCAGGATCAAGGATACAAGAGAACAATTTCTTTATCCTCTCTTACGTTGAGCCTGGTAATCAATGGGAAGCAAAGCAGAATCAATATTAATTGATCAGTTAGGTTTTTAAATAATTGGCATTCACTCCACTCGCTAGACAAAATAACAGCTGGCTTTTAGGGTTTGCCCTTTTCCAGCTCTTTTATCCCTGTTTGTGCATTTGTGTTTATCTCAGTAGCTGCTGTGATGCAGGAGGTGCCCCCAGGACGTGGCACAGGCCCCACAGACATCCCTGGTGCTGCAGACAGAACTCAGACAGGTGGGGTGGTGAAGTGCAGCACCAGAGAGTGTTTTCAGAGCACTCTGCTCCTTGCAGGGCTGTGGCCAGGCTCACCTTCCTTTGGTTTGCTCCCAGTAATTCCAGCACTGCAATGAAGCCAGCCTGGCAGCAGCACCAGGCCTCCATGGAAATAGGGGCCAAATACACCAGCAATGACACTGTAGCTTACCTCATGCAATCTACATTTTTGTAGAATCCTTTGGAGCATACTAAAGGTTAAATGACCGCATCCATGAGAATGAGATTATAACAGCAGAATATGGTTTATTTGTGTAAAAATATGGACCAAGTAGTGCTGGCTGTATACATACATGTTTGCAAGGAGCAGAGGAGGCATTGATGGCCTTTTGCACTCTCTAAACCTCTCTAAACCTCTCTTCAGGCTTCTGGAGATGGATTTGGACGCAGGTACATCTGTCCCATTCCTGGTCTCCCTCTGCCTACAACCACTATAGAGATGTTCATTCAGCATTGAATTGAGTAAAATTGGTGATACACTTTTTCAAATAACATCTCCTTTTAGGAGACCTTCAATCCCTCAGCTAATCAGGATGAATTTGGATCTTCTGACTCAACCCTTTGGCTGTCAGTGCTGCATGCTTCACATAGATATGTCTCTTTGATTTCCCCTGGTTTTGTGCCACAGCCAGCTGGGATTTCTAAACTGATCTTCATAAGATCTTTCTAGGATCTGGTCCTTCATCTCTCTCTTTTTTGGCTTCCCAGCTCTGAGATAGTTAGAAAACCTCTGCTCTACAGAAGTGGCGTGACACATTACAGATTGTGTCATGCTCAAGTTTTTCTGTGTCTCTGATTTATTACAGGCAGCATGAAATTTTGGGGATTCTTCACGCCATTGTCTCTTAGAGAGCACAAAGAAGAGTAGCTATGGAGGACCCAAAGTCTGCCACTCTACTCAGCTCTGCCATAAAGTTGAAATGGTCACCGGCTGCCTATTTACCCAAGAAAAAACATATAAATGAGACATGTAATGTTGGTAAGAAAGCGTTGCAGAACTTGTGTTGCGGAAAATGATTTTTAAATGACTTTCTGATACCATGCCTGAATTTATGTTGTTTGGTACTTGCTGTGAGTGCCATTTTTTTATTCCGTAAATATGACTGCAGCATTTTGATCAGCTGTCCTAAATGCTTAATCAAACTCTATTATCCTGCTAGCCATAAACTAGCCAAGAGAAAGTTACTGCCTCAAAATGTTACTACCTATGGACCAGCCTTAAATAAGGCAAGTAATGGCCTTTTTCTTGGGTGTGATAGAAACCTCCGTTTTCTGGAACCAAAATATTTTTATACTTTGCTATTAAGTTTCATTGAAGCTTTGTCTACTTTTATGTAAAGTATACTGATTTATTAGAAAGCTCACTCCACAGTAAACTGATAATTGGATGCTGTTGAAAGAATGAGTTTCATTGATCTAGTCAGTGACCACAGACATTACTGAAGTAAACCTCTTAACAGTGCTGGGGCGTATTTTGGCCACAATCAATTTTTGTGAATCTTCCCTTGTAGTATTTTGTTTTATTTGACACTATCTGCATTGATCTAAACCCGAAGCACATTTAATGTGTAAAATTTATCTTGACAGAAAGTTTCATTACTTTTCAGTCAACACAAACTTCTCATTCTTTATTATAGATTAAAAATCTGCTCTGACAATCTGTGCAAGTAACCTGTAGATACCTGTTGCATCAGTATGCGCGTGCCAGAGACAGAAAAAGGATTGTAGTTGGAGAGCTGGGCTTTAAATAAACGAGACATTGCACTTGCTGATGTTGAACAGAATGTTTTTTAATATCTGGCATGAAGAAGATGCCAAATATAAAGATTTTCTTCTCTGCTTTCTGTTTCTGTTTTAATTGTTAATTTTTTTTAACAGAGCTTGATTCTCTCTCTCCTCACAGCACATTCATGGCTCCACACAAATGCAGCCATTTTAGTGTTAAACTCCATGAACTCATCTCTTGCGGTTGCATGGACCCAAAGGTAAGAGATGATCCACAGAAAGACAGGAACTTCAGGAAAACCTTTCTGACATTTTTGAAGGTGTTTGAGTGCTACTGATTAAAGGCTAATGATCAGAATGTTTTAACTATGGTTCATGCTTAGCAATAATTATAATTTAATTTTAAACTAAAACATCATTAATACTTATGTTTATAAAGCAAGAAAAACCTGTGTGCTTCACATGAGATGTTTAAGTTAGTATCAGCTTGGGATGTTTGCCCTCGGTGTGGAAGCATCTGTTTGCAGGAAAGCTCTTAACATTCTGTATAAATAACATTCAAAATATTATTGTGGTGAACTAGATATGCTTTCTGAGTTCCTTGATTTTCTTTATGTTACATAATTCAGTAAGTTAATTAATAAGAAGTAATAAGTAGTGAACAAGGCTTAGTCATATCCTGATAGAGATGAAGTTTAAATTTTTTAACCAGATGCACACTACTGTGTTTGCGTTTGATTCATTTCTGGTAGTAGCTGCTTCTCATCTTGTGACTCTTGGCTGGTGAAAAAACATGTTTTTGTGTAAATAGTTTCAATCACATGAAATTCACTCCTGGAAAAAAATCAATTGTCTTTAGGATTTATAAAACCTTTCTTAAAATAAAATTCATATTCAGAACTATCTGATTAGATAGCCAGTGCTGTATTTTTCTATTTTTAAAATATTAGAGATGAAAAATTTCCATGTTAGAAGTTCCAAGATTAAGGTAAGTGCACTATGATCTAAAGACAGTAACTCAGTGACACGAGAAGTTTTAAATGTCTTTCCTAGGTAGTCTGAATTACAATTATTTCTGGAGAGAATTGCTGCCATCTTGCTCTTGCTGATTTATGGGCTGACTCTGAAGGTGAACATCAGGCTGATATGGCTTTTTTTTTTTTAACAAAAAAAAACTAAGCCAAATTGTTTAAAAAACCTAAAGGCCTGTAAACAGAAGCCTGAACATTGCAATGCAAGTGAGAATGACTTTGACTGATGCTGAAAATTTGTATGAGAAGCTGCATTATATATCTTGGAGGTTTCACAGGAGGGGAAATCTAGCCTTTCCTGATGAGGAACAGCACTTTGCAAAGGCAGGATCACTCTGAACATCTTTGGTCCTTCCTGGGACTCATTTGTCTGAGCAGAGCAGTTAGAGCTGCTGACTCTGAATCCCTAACCCTGTCTATATTGGCACAAAATGAGACCTTTTTATTTCTCCATGGTTGGCAGTGGTGACAGAAAACTTCTGAGAAAACCTAAAATATTTATAGGATTTAAAGTTCTTTTTCTGCGTAAAGGACAATGAAAAGAGAGCAGAATAAAGCAGTGCTCTACCTTTCCTGCATTCCAAAAGCAAAATTAATAAGAAATTGAGTGGTTGTCATGGTATTTACAGAAAGGAGATAATCATAGGAGGTACAAGTACCCATTCAATGGGAGTGGCCTTTGCAGGAGATTTGATAGTGGAGAAGTTAATTTCCCTGGTGAGCTAAGTGAGATAACATAGTTTTATCTTTTTCAGAAAACTAAGGGTAAATGATCTGGTTCAATAACTCTCACTAAGTACATTTAGATAAACTTTTTTCTGTGTTTATTAAGTTGTTTATTTGTTATAATACTACTAGTCATCTAACACAGATGAGAATTTAGGTGGAAGCCAACAAACACCCCTTTAAGCAGCTGGCCCATTTCAAGCACTGAGAATAAATTAAATGATAAAGCACGCTCTCTTTGATTAGAAGACCAAAATTAGTAATTGTGGAAGTGTTTCAAATTGTAGGAAGAGCAGCTTTCATTCTGTGTGCAAAGAGATAGACATGTATGTGCAGTGAATGGTCTAACATTTCATTGCACAATTGTGTTATCTTTAAGGAAAGGGAGGACTGAAAAGGCACATGTTTCACAAGACTGTAAATGGCTTATAATGAAAGATACACCATTCACTTGTGGAAAAGAATACTAGATAGAATAGCTACAGTCACATAGGGTAACAATTTATCTTACTGCAGCTAGATATGTGAAATTTCACACAGTAGAAATGGGAGAATTTTCCACCCTGCTTTTGAATTCTGTATAGAATAAGTATCTGTTCATTATCTTGTATCTGTATGCACACACGGTGAACTCTGAAGCCTGACTGTCAGGGAGGAAGAGATTAGTCTGTGTCTGTTAAACAGTGAAGTCCTCTAAGTGCTTTCATGTTCTTAAAAGCTCAATCTGCACTTGTATATGCAATCTGCAGTGTGGTGTATCATCAAAGAAAAGCTACTGAGTTTGTGCATGCATGTGTAGCAATTGATTTTTTCCAAGGTACTTGCCTGGCTGCAGTATTGCATATTTTGAGGGTAAGATCAAATCATAGTGTTGAGGAAAAAGCCACTGCAAATATGGTAGTGAAAACAACAGCACAGGTGGCAATCAGATTTGGAATGCAGACATCTTAAATCAGTGCCCTTTGTGGGAAATCAAGATAAATTTCAGTGATAGCAAGGTCTGGAAAAATAATTGTGCCAGAAAACCAAAAGGCCTGGGTGTCTTTTTGTCTTTAACTGTGTGATAGCTCTCAGAGTGAATCCCTCAGCTCACCAGAGAGAGGGCTTCTTAGGGCCTTGCCAGAATTTGATTGCTCAGTGTGTCTCTGTCAGGATTACTCACTGTGATACATCCACTAGGACACATAATTTCGAACAGGGAAAATACTCCATTAAGATTTGACAGATTAGGAAAATGAAAACATTTGCATTGTGAAAATACTCCATTAAGATTTGAGAGATTAGGAAAATGAAAACATTTGCATTGTGAAGATGACGTATTTGAAGAATCTGAGAGGGCTGCATTTCTGCAGCCTGGAAAAGAGATGGCTAAAAAGAAATCAATTTTCTCTCTTCATCTCTGTTATAGAAAAGACAAAGCCATACTCTTCTTGCAGGTGCACAGCAAAACAAGAAGTAGTGGACCCAAGATGAAACAAGGGAAATTCCTCTGAAGAAAAATTATTCTTCCTAGGGAGGTTGATTTTACACTGAAAAAGCTGCCCAGAAAGGCTGTGTAATCTCCATCCTTAGAGGTGTGTAAAATTCAGCTGGATGAGACCCTAGGAAACCAAATCTAGCTTTAAGCAGTGTTGGAACCCAATGGCTTTCTATGTCCCTTCTAACATAAACTACACAATCATATATTAAAAAAAAAAAAAAAAAAGCAACAAATGTGGAACTCTGCTTGGCCAGTTGAATGCTCCTTTAAAATAGATTCATTTACATCTATGGTGTTTCCTCTTCAGAGCAGGAATTCACTTTTTGATTCTGTTTGGAGAGGATCAGTAGCATTGGGATTTCTATCCTTGGCTAGTGCTTTTCTAGCTATAGCAATTGTCGTTTAAGCCCAGCTGGAAATTAAGCATGCTGCAGCTGCTTGCTCAACTCCCCCCAGTCTTACCCCCCAAACCTGGTGGAATGGAGAGGACAATCAAAGTAAAATTTGTAGGTTGAGATAAGAACAGTTTAATAATAAAAATAAAGTAAAATACAATAATAATGGTAAATAATAATAATAATGACAATAAAAAGGGGAACCCAAGCGAAGCATGATGCAATTGCTCACCACCTGCTGGCTGACGCCAGACCTCCCCCTTTCTGAACTCAGATCAGCCCCTCCTCTACCTCCTTTGTCCTCCTACTTTATGTACAGAACATGATGCCGCAAGGTCTGGAATATTGCTCTGGTCAGTTTGGATCACCTGTCTCAGCTGCATCTCCTCCCTATCTCCCATGCACCCCCAACTTCCTTTCCAGTGTGGCAGTCAAAAAACCAGAGCCTTGACTCTGTGCAAGCCCTGCTCAGCAATAGCAAAAACATCTCTGTGTTATCAACACTGTTCAAAACATAGTCCCATACTAGCCAGCGTGGAGACAATTAATTCTACCTCAGCCAAAACCTGCACATTATACAAATACCAGAAATGAGGGGTGGCTCCATAAGAAGAAAAAAATGAGAGTAAAGAAAGCATCTAAACTGTAGGAGATCTGATAATAAGAACAGAGATTCTATCAAAGCCATGCACTTAGGTGGAGAAGGAAGTAAACAGACAAATGAAAAGATTGTGCTTTTTCAGACACAGGGCCAATCCTGTGATGAGTCTGTGACTGTCTTGGATGGAGAACGAATGTGCTGACTGGACTGTGACAGGCAGTCTGGATGTCTAGTGATGTGCTTTGACGTCTTCTTTGTGATTTTGGTAGTGTAGATAGCTTTGATCAAAGCATATGGCCCTCCCATGCATCTTCAAAAGCAGTGGGATTGTCCCAGTTAAAATTTGGTTACTCTTGGAGTAAGGGAATGCTTGCTATGGAAACACAGCCAAGAGTTATCCATCTCACTAGCAAACAAGTATCCTTGCCTGAGGAGAAGTGACAGATGGCTTACCAAGCGTAACCCTGTAATTCACAACCTGCTTTATGTGGATCTCCTGGCTATTGCTTTCTTCTCGCCCTCATTTCCATTTCCATTTCCACTCCCACCATTCCTTGGGCTTTTGCCATCACCCTCCCACTCTCTCCCCATTTCTATGTTGTTGCCTCTCTCCCACAGCACTGCTTCTGCTCCCTCCCTGCATTTCTCTTGTAGACACAAACTGAACTGCAGGTCTGAGGGGATGTCTGGCAGCATGACCCAGTAGGGAAAGCTACTGTGGTGCTGCTCTTTATCCACATTCTCATTAGTGTTGCATACCTCAGCTCCTGGAAAGTGCTCTTATAACTTGCTATGGTCTGATATGTGAAAATTTTTCACTTCAAAACTTATCAATTATTTTGTGGTAAATTACAAGGAAGACAGAATATGTAAAGTGCTTGCTTTTTTTACACTGGACTCTCTGGGGCGAGTTTCACTCAGTTACTCAGCTGTGATTAATTTTGTTTGTTGCAATGGAAAGCTTAACAGGGTGTATGTGCAAGTTAGAGTGTTGGTGTACATTTCAGAGGAGAAATCAGGTTTGGATACATACTGAATCCTCCTGAATCTATATCCAAATGTTAAACTTTTCAAAGTTCATCTAAATTTGCTGAATTCTTGGTTAATTAGTTGCAGTGGATGTCAGAAGTACTGAAGATAAAAGGCCAGATAAATGTATCATGTGTCAATTCTGGAGTGACAGGAAGGAGAAAGTACAATCTCTCCCTCTCTTACTGAACCTTCCCACCTATGAGATATGGGCCACAAAGGTCACATAAAGTTCAAAGCAGATGTGTCTAAACCAGATTTCTTGAGAGCAAATCACATTCAAATTGCACAATTCCCTGTTGGTGTGCTTTACACCTGCTTTCCTTAATTATTTCAGTGACACTTATTCATTGTCATTGTTGCTCCTGCTTATCTGTGAATGGCCTGGGTAGGCTGGCGTGTGTGGCTCTGGACAGGGGGAGCAGCACATTTCAATGGGTGCTGGCAGCATCTTAGAAATTTTGCCACCGAGTTCAGTGGTAAATGTGAAATTCAGAGGGAGCTGTGGCCTGCTGCCATTTGCAGGCTGTAAAGACAAGGGGTGTTGCAAAAGGACACAAGTTTCGTGCAGAGGCTCAGATTGTAAAATAAGTTTGGGAGAAAGTGCAGCTACACTTTTATTTTGTGCTCCCATTGTGACACACAGTGAGCAGAAATCTTTGGTCTTTTGAAAGCCTCCTGTTTGCCTTTCTCCTTAAATGGCCCTGCAAGGAAATAGAAGCAGACTGACTCTATTACACAGACTGGGAGATCTGTGTAAGTTTTCCTTCAAGTGTTAGAAGTTTTAATTTTCTGAACTGAAGTGTTGCTGTATTTGTATTTCAAGGTGTGAGAACATTTGAAAAATTAGTTGACAATAACCAAATTTAAATGTAAGCTTTGAACCAAAACACTGTACTATTTTTTGCTTTAAATAAAAACAGATGATGCCCAAAACTTGCCCAATATGTGGTAACTTTATATGTACGTTCCAGCCAGATATTTTACCAACAGTAACCTAGAAACATTAACATAATTGCAAATAGAAAATGTTGGTAATGATTTAAAGACACGTGATTACAATACAAATGGGGGGGTGAAGGGTAAAAACCTCTCATGGTTTATATTGCTCTAGTTGCTAGATTGGTACATTTTTTTACATGAAGTCTGCAGATCAGGGGTATAAAGATGTGTAAAATTTCTTAGCAATCTAAATCAGGATAAACCCCAATCTTAATGAAATTAAGCCAATCTTAAAACAAACAAAAATCCAAAAAACTCTGACATAAATAATTAGGTTTAATTTCAGCTATTGGTTACTCATCTTCACAAGGAAAACTCAATTTTGTTTAATTGATGAAGTGGAAACCTGTTGCTAAATAGAGAGAAAAGTTCTTACAGTATTTGTGAGGGGGTTTTGGGTGTTGGGATAGTTTGCTTGCTTGGCTAATTGTCAGGATGAATTTGAGATTTAGAAACCATCCCTGAAGAAAAATTTAGGCTAATATTTCAGGGAACATACATTTTGGGGCAAAAGTTCTCTTAGCTTTTCTGTGTGAAAAGATCTGCTGATTCAGTTGGACTATTTGTAAGAGAAAGACCCAAGGAGCTCGGGAGTAAGAATTTCTAAATTACCTGAAATGACTTCTTTAAGTGTTTATGTAAAGAGAGGGAGAGGAGAACAGAGTAACAAAGTACAGTGGGGCTTGTAGAAAAGAAGCAGCATGTTATGGGGCTAGGTAAGACTAAGCAGGATGGAGAAGATCAGTCTGTAGCTAGCAGAAAGGAGGAAACATTAAAAGGAAATTCTAGATTAGATGAGAAGGAGCATTTGAAAGGAAAGAATTAAAGAGAATGGAGTGCTGGTACCATAGAATGCACCACTATCGGAATGCTTTTTGCTGGAAAAGCAAAATTTTAGTTTTAGGAAGATCATGGTTTCTGATCTGTTAGTGGCAACACAAGATATAGCAATGCAGAAAGCAGTGATATTGTAAGGAAAATAATATTGTATCCGGTTTGTATAAATTGTTTCAGGTGAAATTTGGTTTTAAGTGATGCTTATTCTGGCAGCCAGGTGCCGTGAAGTTCGGTTGGGCTGTCAAAGTTCTGGGTTCTCCAGGGAAAAACAGGAGCTGATACCATTAGCAACATTCCAGGAAAAAATTGTGGAAAATTTCTTCTTGATATTAAAAACCCAGTGTTGTGCGTCAGGTATTTTGGAAAAAGCCATACTTCAGGTTACGTGTTTGCAGCAAGAATGGGGTATTAGAAGCATTTAGTGCCACAGTAGGGAAAGACATCTATACCAGATCTTGTGAAGTCATTAGCCACTGTTTGGTAAATAAAAAGATACAAAGTATGACTGGTGATGTTTTTCTGAGTCTAAATTATTATTTATTTTCAACTCTATTTGCAGTACTTGGCCCTAATACTTATCATACATAACACTGCCATAATAATGTGCCTCCTGGGCCATTCTTGTCTGCAACTTGGTCAGAGTGAACTGGCAAGAGCTTTTAGTGCATGTAAACGAAGGGACTACATGCTTATTTCCCAGAAAATATTTTATTATGGGTGCTTTCCTTGTAAAGTGATTTTTATCTTCCATTTTAACAACAAAACATCCTCATATTTGGCATCAGTTTTTAAACTTACATAGTTCTATTTCTAGATATACTATCAGAAGGCAACAAGTTTTTTTGGTTAAAAAAAAAAAATTAAATCTTTCCTGAGAGAAAGTTCAGAAGACTATAAATGTAAATTAAACTTTATACAGATATATTTAAGCAATAATAAAGGTAAGAATTTCAGCAGTAATTCTTGTTAATGTGTTAGTAGTAGATGAATTCTTGCGCAGTTTATTGAAGGTGATTCTATACCAGAAACCGTTTTTTGAAATATATTGCATAAAAATTATCCTCCTATTTGAACAGCAGGAAGGATTCATCTCCAGAAATGTTTGCCAGGACTGTGCATGTGTTGAAATTTGTCACAGAAGAGATCAATAAGTGGGCACTGCTTGAAAAGTAAATCACCTGGGGAGAGCCAGGGAATTGTCATTGTAGTGGAAGTATCTCAGTAGAAAGAGGTATCTGTCCCTGTTCATTAGAAAGGAAAATGAAGAGGGACGGAGGGAATGAGGAGGGTGGATTGACTAATATAAAGAATAACTGTGGGGGGTTAACTCTTCCTGTTTGTGCTGTCAGAACTCGTGCTTTGAGTTAATTGATGTCTTTGGGGACCCCAGAAGGAGGCAACAAATTGTCTCCTCGTTGCACCAAATTCACTGACTTGACAAAGTGGTCTGCTCAAATGCAGAGCAGAACATTAAATGGAGCTAAAAAAAGATATCTGCCTTTATAGCAAATGCATTAGAATTTGAGGAAATGCACCGAGCAGTGAAAGGTAAAAATTGCTCATATTATTCCAAGGAATTATGTATGAATACCTCAAAGAAAAACAGAATAAACCCAGCTAATAAACAACCACTGAGATCCCCTACTCAAATACTATTTAAAAACAACAGGGCTCGTTCCATTAATTTCAGTGGACCTACACTGAGAAACTTTATGGTGGCAGGGGGGAAGACCTCTTATATATCCTGAATGAAGGCCTTCCATTCTGGACATGTATATCCAGCAGATACAAGAAACTCACAAAATTTTATTTTTTTCTTGTTACTTTATTTTGTTATCTTTAGGAAAAGACAGAACAGCATATAAGGGTGGAAAGGATTGGAAATGACATCTGTGGAATCTAGCAGAATTTAACTTATTGGAAGTAGCAGGGATTATCCATTTAAATCTGGACTTTCAGACAATTTAATTTAAAAAATATTTGCTATTCATAACTTCTTTGGAGTTTGTGTGTGTGAAACTGCACATGCAATAAAACATTTTATGACTGCTGGGCAATAAAATTCCACTAGTTCTATACAAATGTAGTGCTTGGTGAAATACAGCCTGTGGAGAGCAGGAAATCCCAAAGACATGCAACTTTACAGCCATAGAACTGGCATAACAATGGCTAATAAATGGAACTAATTCTCAGTGCCTTGAGACATTGTCCAGAATGGGAGTTTGATTTCTGAAACTTGAACGATGTCACAGAAAGAATACTGTTCCTCAGCTGTAACTTTGTTAACCATGACTCTGCCCTTGTGTTTCCTACATTCTTTTTACTCTCCAGCTTCTTCAACATGTGAAACAAGGCTGTGATTGACAACAGCTTTATTCACTGCGCAGCCCCTGGAGAAGGCTCACCCTGCAAGTTACGTTCACACTCTGCATGATGGGAAAAGAGGAGTTCACTGTAATGTGGTTGTACTTAAATGCCTCCAAGATGTTTATGGAAAATAATGCCTTAAGATGATTTATGATGTCAGAAGCCCCTGGTCAAGCAGGTCTCTTGTAGTTCCTGCCAGTCTTTAAGCCTACATCATAATTCAGGCACAATATGCTGTCTGCTCCAGAAATTGCTAAGTTTTAAGTATTTGTTTTTTAGAATCTTGTTATGGGAAGCTTATCAACAACAAACGGTGCTTGTGTCTGTAACAAGCATTCTGCATGGACACTAATTTTTGAGTTCTATTTTGTTGAGCACTTAATGAATAGCTAGCTGTGTTCTGTCTTAATGATTTTGTCATTAGTTAAGAATTTCTAATGAAAGCAGAAGGAGTACTTCTTTCACTTTATATTTGACAGCCTGAAGCCTTTCAGAGAATCAGGTACAAAAGTGTTTTCTGGAAAATAGAGAGCAAATTTAGCAATCTTTTTTTCTCTTTCCTCATACACATCCAGAGTAAAAGAAGCAGATATCCTGTGTGGGCTTTGTGCTACTGACACAGACTGAGACTAAAGCTTTTGCATGAATTCACTTTGTAAAACTGATTATAAAAGAAAGTGTCCCTGTATAGACTATTGAAGGCAAGGACTTTATCTGAGCACTGCTGATATCTCTGCTGATAAACTGATATTGCATTTCTTGCTACCACTTTCTCTTAAGATCTGTAATAGACCTGTACAATCACTAGGGAATAAAAATATCAGATAAACAGTTCTTAGTATCTGTCTTAAATCTCTCCCTAATTGACCAAATACATTTCAGTACTAGTTCAATTAGGTGTCTGTCCAAAGAGAATCAAATATCTATTCAAAGCCTCAAGCAGTTAAAATAGATCTAGAGGTTGGCAACCAGCAAATACTCCCTTTCACAGAAAGTGGTGTGAGGTGTTGCCTGTTTTATGTTTGCCTTTTCCAAAAATTGGTACCCTCTGACAAGCAGCAACTGTGTCTTCTCACTCTCTATTGTTGTTAGTGCCGTATTTTTGCCAGATTTTATGTAGCCAGATATTACTGTGGTCTTTGTTTTACCACCTCAGAAACCACTAACTAATATTTGCTTCACTGTTCAACATTTTGCTTGTTCAGGGATGAGTACAGTGATAGAGCAGGGAAGACAGTAATGGCTTCTTGGGTGAAGCAAAGTCGATTTAAAATGAGGTAAATCTGTTTTTGGTGGATTATACTTGGCATCGTGGAGAAATTAATAAGGCATGAGGTCCTCGTGAGGGAAGTTTCCACAAAATAAGACTGAGACTGTGGCACGGTGCAAAGGAAACAGTTCTACATCTTGTCTTTTGTTTACCTCCCTGCACTGCTGTCAGAGGATGCTTGACTGTAGGGCTTTTTGGGTTGTCCCAACTTTGTCAGCATTCTCACAAGCTTTCCCTCAAAACAAATGACTCAACAAGCAAGCAGGAAATAAAGAAGATAAGCAACAAGAAAATGTATGTCTTTACCTTTCAAATGATAAGCCACATTGTCCCGAAAGTTTATTTTGCAACCCTAACAACTAATTGCATCTGTCTGAATGGTTGTCTGTGGGTCCATTATGCATGCTCTGCTTAATATTCTTCTGGATGTCTTTGTGAAACTATTATCCTGTAGCATTCAAGTGTGTTTCTTTCCAGCAGTGCATTAAGTAACATGACTGACGTCTGTCACATATTTGTTCTCTTCTCTCTGAAAACATACCTATGTCTTGCTCTATAAACTCCCTTCAATCAAACAACTCATATCAAAGTAATTGTAAAAGGGAATTCATCTCTTCTACACAAGGATAGACTGATTATTAATGCAACCAGCGATGATAGTGTTGTAATATCTGGAGGCTTCTTGACCTGTGAGCAATTGTTGGCCTTGCTGAAGATGATGGGTGGGCTAGCTTTTAGAATGAGTAGAAATGCCAAGCTATTTTGTAAAATAAACTGTTTTCAGGAGAAGCTTATGTATGAGGTTCATGCCAGTCACAGAAGTGCATAAGCTGCAATAGAGTAATATTCTCTCAGGCAAGTTTACTATTGCTCCCTTAATATGGAATGTGCACCACACAAAATTGTGATTTATGGGACAGTCACTCTGCATTTTATTTTCTTCTCTGGAACAGTGTGAAGGCTGTTGATGGGACTGATGGAACATGCAGGTGCTAAGAATTTTATTGGTGGAGGTTTACATAGAACTGAAATAGAAAGCCTAGATAAGGTCAAGAAACAGAAATGGTGTTGCCATGTGGGGAAACAGAGCTCTGAAAAGGGAAACAGACTCAGGAAATGAAGCTGCAGGGGTGGTAAGGAGGAGTTTGCCTATCAGACAACAAAATACTTATGATGAAGCAGCTGAATGTTCCTTGGCTTAAGCTGATCAGCAGTTTTGTTAAATGGCAACAGATACCAGCCACCAGTTCAATCTGTTAAGCACCCAGCTAACTCATCTTCTGGTCTATAAAAGAGAATAAATGTTCATAGCTTTTTTCTACCTCTCTGGCAACCCTGTCATTCTATCCAAGTATTGGCTGCCATATATATTTTGCATGACTGTGTATCATGTCTGTATGCAAGGTCTGTGACCTTGCTGTTCTCCAGTCGTCTGAGCTTCTCACCTTGTCCTTACTTTCACAGAAATGTGTCAAAATATCAGGACATGCACCCAGCTGAAAAAGTTTATACTTTTTTCCTATTTCAGCTTGTTTCCAACCACTTGTTTCTTATCCAGCCTCTGCCAACTGATATATACCATGACTAATGACCTACAAAGACAGGCTATGAACTTGAACATTCCTATAACAAAAAAATCAGTGGGATGAAAGGGACGGGCCACACCTTTGTCACGTGAAATTTCAGCTTTTAATTCTATATAACTCCTTGATATATCGTTGATGGGTCTGAATTCCCATTTTGTGTGGGACTGTCCAGGAGACTGTATAGCATTTCTGAGCCTGCCAGCCAGTAAGGGAGAGTTAACTTTGGCAGCAATATGTGTGAGCACAGGAAATAACTAGAACTGTCTCACAGACAAAAATGTTGTTTGGTGACTCTGTCTCTTATAAGAATAATTGGTTAGCAAACTTGCTTACTGCATTTTTTCAATTTAAAATTAGATTAATATTAAGCTAATGAAATATACACGCTTCTTGAACCTGAAGACAAGCACTAAAGATGACTTAAAGGACAGTGTTTGATATAATTGAATGTAATCACTGTAATTCTTTAAAATAATTAAAAATAACCGAAACCCCCACGGCCCAGCACCCTAAATAGGAGGACAAAAATTTGTTGTGGGGATATTTTTTGTATACACAGCAGTTGCATGGCTGCAGGAGAGTTTTAACAGTCCTTTCTCAGAGATGCTTCCAACTGTCAAACAACAATAGTTAGATATCAGTCTTCAATGTGCTAGAGCCCTGTTTTAAAATGTCTGCTTGTTCCCACCAGAAAAGCAGAGAGCTGATTTTTGCTTTCACCACCTTGGAACAGTTGCAGCAGTTACAGGAGAACATGTTTCCTAGGAAGGGTGCTTTGTGGGCTGAAAGGTGAGTTACAGAATCTGCTGCAGTCCCTGGTTCTGAGTTTACACACAGAGACTCAGTGGGACTCCTTCACCATGCTGTGACAAGCCATAGCCCAGATCCTGAGGACTTTCAGCACCTTTGTGCTCAGCCTGGTGCAAAAAGGGCAAGAACACCAGTGTTTGCAGGAGCTGTGTCATGTGTGCCCGGCTTGTTCTCTTGCAGTTTGAAGCATGAATGAAATACTCTGCTTTTCTGACACTATTATTCGTGGAAATACCTCAGGGGTGTGACAATCCTGTAGCACTTAAAACTGGCCTGTGCATAAAGGCTGTGTTTTGGGTCACAGATTTTATCACAGTACACCTAGCAAGCAGATTGTAGCTGCGACATTTATCCCTTTGAGGCACAGAGTAGGTCTTGTCTGGTGAGTATGATACTGAGGTCCCCATGACCTACAACCAGTTATCCATTAAATCTAATTTCTATTAGATTAAATCAGGCCCTGTGGTCTGCCAGAATATTGACTCAGTCCTAAAAAAATTCTCAAGTATTTTTATTCCTTAGAAATCGTTTGACTGTTGCAAAGTCTTACTCAAAATGATGTACACATCTTGCCGGATCTGCCCACAGGAACCTGATTAAATTCAACATCACTGCATGCATAGCCCTTCTTCTGAGACCTAGGAGGGTTCAATATAAGCTGAACTTCAGGCATTAAGCAGTTCTTTCCCCAAAGAGGCAAATTCCAAGTGATATCCCTGCTGATTAACTAAAGACACAAAACATATAGATGAATATAAGTAGAGAAATCAAATGGACACCTACTGCAAAAAGCAGGCTGTTTGCATGATAAACAGTTGAATATATGAATAGCAGTAATTGCGGACTAATGGACCTATCGTAAGACTTTCAAAAAAAGGAGATATTCTAACTCTAGCCATAAAAAATAAAATAAATGCTATTAAGGAGAATTCTAATCTTGAAAAATGATTTAGAGTGAAGAGAGAAAGAAAGCTTTTGGGTAAATTTGGCTTCTTTGTAACTAAAAAATAATGCTGTATTCTGTAGCAGTATGGAAGTATTTAGCAAGTGGAGCACAGTCCTTGGAATTGCTTACTGCTTCCTGTTGTCATTGATTTCAGTGGGAGTGCAGAGTATTCAGATGAAAAAATTGATTTAATGTCTTTTAAAAACTAAATATGTTTTACAAAATAGCCAAGACCAGGTTATGATGTGTGAGAAGAATCAAACCATGTGGCTGGTTGGCAGTGCCTGTAGGGGCTGGAAATCCAGCTTGTTAGCTTTCTCTAAATGTCTGTGTGAAGAATTCTTTTTCTAGTTTTGTGACTGGCAAGATAAATGACTTCTAAACCACTATCCATATTTTAAAAACAACTCAGAGAGTGCAAATATTGTATCTAATACATTGTTCCAGTGCATGCCTCTTAACAGTTACTGTAATTTTCATGCCAGCAAAAAACACATATTAATTGCTGTTGAAACTAGTCCTCCCACAGTATTAATATCACTTTAAATGCTTTATAAATAGTAAGTACTGAAGTTTTTATAGAACTTCACATGAAAACAGGCTTACAGTTGTTAATATGCATTTAAATTAACTCCTAATTCTGCATCAAAGCTTGGCCTGCTGGAGGGTGGGAATGCCAAGGGAACAATGGCAAACCTCAGAAGTCAAGGGAATGAAGATAGTGTCATGACTCAGCTGTTCAGCCAAGCAGTACCATTTTAAAAAAATCAGCATATGTCCCACACCAAGCTTCCTAAAGATTCCATGTACTGTTAAAAGAGAAAATAAATACAATCACTTCTGTCATCAACAAAGCATATAAAAGGGGTGGGGGGAAAGATGGGAGAAGTTGACTTGCAAAAATAGAGAAAAAAATGTCAGAAAATGAACTCTCGCTTAGAGCTGGAGGTTCTGATCAAGAATATGAAGATCTCCCACTGGAATATTCACCAGTCTTGTGCCAAAAAATAAGGCTCTAACTGTGTTCTAAAAATATTTTTCATGAGGTTAAGTGAGATCTCCAAAAGTGACTGGTAATATTAAGTTGCTTAATATCAAAATTTCTTATATTTTTTTTATTTCAGCAGAATGCAGAATATATTGCATCTGTATTAATGTTTGTTTCATATTATATTTTGCTTTAATTATTGGATATTTTAGAAATAACTGAGGAAAAATTTTTTATATATATGGCATTAGATGATATTACAGTAGGCTTTAAGCTTAGGAAATATTGCCCCTTTCACATTCTAAAAGCTACGACTCTATTTGCCCTTTCTCAATTGTTAAAAGCTGAGCTGCAGAGGTAGGTGGGAATTCCTATAACAGCTGGGACTGCCAAGGATGGTCCCCAATATAGAAAAACATGCATCAGAGCATAAACTTAGTGT